CAGCATATTTTTAATGCAGTTTTGTGGTGAAATTAGGTGCCTTGGCAGATATTCGGGTGGCTTATACTCGAGTGTATATGGTATGTGATTTCACTGGCCCAGTGAGTTGTGAGCCTGGCTGCTAACCATCTCCCAGTGGAGGGTTCCAGTCTCAGAAGCCCACTGGACTGGGCTCTATTCCCCGCCCTGGAGGGTGGCTAGGAGTCGGAATCTACTCTCTGGCGGCGAGCTGTTATTAAATGAAAACGCTTGTGAGTTAAAACACAGAATACTTAATTTTTTTTTCCTACTGTACTTTTATTTTAGAGTAAGCTAGATTCTGCTTCTTTCTTTTGAAACTCAGCCTGGACATTTAGTGTGCTCTTTTTTTAATAGAAAATTTTCAAGAATAAGTTAGATTTTTTGAAATTGTAAAAGGCATGTACATGCTGAAAAATAATTTTCGTTCCCTCCTAGTTTTCAGTTTTGTGTTCATATTGACACCGTACTTTATAAAATGTCATCGGTATTTTTCTCTAGTTTGTAGGCTGAGATGGGATTCCTGTAAGCCAGATTCTGTTACCTTGATTTTTTTTTTTAAGACACAAATGACACTCATCAATTGTTTTCCTAGTCTGTGCTTAAAAATGAAAGCTGTGAACCTCATATTTTGGAAAGATTATAAAGTACTAAAAAAGTCTCTAAAGTAGCACTTTAAGTGATTATACGTTTTATGTGTCTGTTCTTTATAATATGCATAATCAGTAGTAATATGACCATCAGAAAGGGGTTTAAGAAAGGAAATAAAAATGGTAAAAAGAAAAAGAATGTGTACTATCTTTTGTGTACTCTCATGATACTAATATAAGACATATTCTGCTGTACTTTTAATCGGGTGTCATAGAAATGAAGAGTGATTTTAGTTATATTTGGAGAAGAAGTACAGCTGGAGAAAGTGGTTACTATGGAGACGAGTGTTCCTATAAGGAGAGGAAGCAAAACGATTGTTCAAACCACTATCTCCAGAGGGGAAGAGATGTGGTGGTTGGCTGCCAGAAGGAGGATCACCTACAAAACTCTGCCTTTCATTAAGGCACCGACACCACCTTTTGTTAGGAAGAAAATGACTTGAATTCCTACTATTAAAATTATGCTTCTCTCAGTGCTTAGACTCCTACTCCTCATAGCAGGTCCATTAACCTGTCTCAGGAAGTCAATTCTGATTTCTAAGGACAGAGCACAACTGTGCTGTGGTGTTACCAAGGCTGCACATCATTGGAGAAGTGTACTGCCATATTTTTTCCCTGTGGATTCAAACCACAAGTCCGGCTCATAACCATTGCACCCCTAGAGCTCCTTCTCAGACTTCGTTGCATCCGTCATGATAGGTTGTCTCTGTTCCGAATTTGGTGCCCTACTCAAGTGGTGTAAACCTATGAATATGAATGTTAGGTGACTTGGTACTCGTTGTTTAGTCTTGGTTTTTACCGAGCAACTGATACAATACTGCATGTCCATATTCCCTAGACAGAGATATGATAATACTCTTTCCGTTTTCTCAGAAGAGCCCCATGGAGTGATCAATATTTACTCAGGGCTTAATTGTCCATTTTCTTTTCATAATTTTTAAAAATCATTTTATTGGAGGCTCACACAACTCATCACAGTCCATACCTACATCAATTGTGTCAAGCACATTTGTACATTCGTTGCCCTCATCATTCTCAAAACATTTGCTCTCCACTTAAGCCCTTGGCATCAGCTCCTCATGTTCCCCCCTCTCTTCTGAACCCTTGATAATTTATAAATTATTATTCTGTCATATCTT